TGGGACTTGAGTTACCATTGCTTGAAGTCCTGCAGTGCCGCTTCTTGATCGCCTGCTTGGCCTTGAAGCTAGCCCAAGAAACCCAACTATAGCGCACGAGTGATCGCCTGCCTTCCCGGCCAAAATCCCGAACCAGAACAGCCTCACAGTCAGAGCGCTCAAGTTCTACAAGTACACAGCAGCCTTCGCACAACTTGATCTCCCCCCGCACGTGCAAGGCTTCTCTACCTTGAACGCGATGCAGTGCAGAAGGAAGCGGCTGTAAAGAAGAAAACATTGCAGGAGGCAGGTGTGCTGTGGCACTTTGGGCGTTCTCTGAGCATTGCCTTCACAGCCTCGCAGGGTATGCTTGTTGGTCCTGTCTGGCTTTCTTGGAGGGCAGGACCCCAATAGCTGGTGCTGGCGGCTGTCTTGAGAAGCTGACGGTTTTTTCTCTTTCACCGTCTCAGAGGTCTCAATCTGTGATTCGCAATTTGTTGCAGCCTGTTGAAAAGAACGGTCACAAGGAGGGAATCAGGACTGAGATCAATTCAGGTAGGTCGGCTTCCTGGGCTAGAGGTTCTTTGATCCAAGAGTCGGATGGAGTCGAACTTGGTTGCGCAAACCCTGGCACCCCCAAAATGGTGGTTTTCCTCCATTTGTTTGGCATTCTTGACGCTCAACCCCCCCCCCCCCCCAACCCCCCGGCGCAGCCCAGCCGAAAGACTCCCGCAGGCGGAGCAGGAGGCGCGGCAGCTCACCGAGCAGCTGGACTCCGTGGAGGACCACGAGGCCAAGTCCGCGCTGGCGCTGCGGGAGCTCCAGGCGGAGCAGGCGGAGCCCGCGGGCTGAAATCAGATGGCGAGAGGAAGCTGCACAAAGCCTAGGGACCCAGCGGAAAATCCAACTAGGTCTCATTTCGCTATAAAAATGGGTCAAGCCAAGAAAGGGTGGCGTTTCTCTGCCTGGGCAAATGGGAAATCTGAGTACCAAGGGTGAGGGAAAGTGTTTGATTCTTGTTGACCGATAGACCTGCAAATGAACTCAACCTGCTGCATTGGTGGAAAGAATTTTGGATTTGCGCTGAGCATTGTGCGCTCTCGAGGTTGTTTTCTGTGATGCCTCCCGCAGGTGAATCTTACCAATCCCCCAAATTGGTTGGACGCATTCAGTTACATGTTTTTTCGGCACAAGCCAGGAAGCAGTTTCGACAACAGCCAGGAAGCTTCGCACAACCTCATGTCCACTGCGAGGGCACGTGATATTTTGCCTCAGCCGATGCCAGGTAAAGAGAGGTTGAGGCCATTGTCGATTTCCACCATCAATCCGGCAGCGCATACCGTGGATGGACAAAATCCTGCACCACCTGAGAAAATACGTAAATACTCTATACATATGACCTTGCCAGTGACACAATGTAGTTAGGGCTTAGGGCCACTGCCAAGCTCTTCTAAGCATGGCTAGCTGCAGCACATATTACCGGCGGCAAGGGCGACAGCATTCGTGTGAAAGTAAGGATTATCAACAAAACTGTCCAACTGCTTGGTGCAAGAAACACTGTAGCTTTGCCGAACCACCTGGCCAAGACTGTTCTAGGCTACGCGTGGCAGTCACAATGGGCGCGGCAAGCCTCCGAGTCAAACTTGAGCCGTTGGACGGGGCGTTTGAGCGATGAAGCAAAGCGCTGCTAGCACTCCGTGGGCGCCAGGCCAAGGGCGGCACGGTCGGCACGGCCGACGCCGCGGCGCTTTGGTCGCAGCGCTCAGGGCTGCGGCAGAAGCTGCGCAAGACCCAGGCAGCGGGATTGCTGCGAGGTTTGCTGTGTGATGCCGTGGGACGGCCGGCCTTTCTTTGGCAAATCCCTGGGTCCTGAATGAATTCCTTTCGAACACTGTTTATCGAACAACAGGCAAAACATCCAGGCACATCCGGAAACATCCAGTCACTTTGTCCCATACGTCCAGGAGATGCTGGAGCTTCGGCAGCTGCTTCTGGATGAGCGGATGCTGCTGGAGAAGCGGCGCCTCGGTTCCGCGGAGATGCTCCGGGAGATCGCGGAGTTGGAGGAGCAGGCGGGAGCCACGAGATGTCACGGGAAAAGGGGGACCTACTGTGGATGGACGAAATCCTGCACCACTTGGAAACCATGATCAACAATTGACGGTGGGAAAAAGACAGGGAATCAACATTCCAGGGTTTCTTAGGAGGGAGGACCTCACTCAAAGCCCTTGTGGCCAGGCAGACGATGTGGAGCGCAATGGCCAGCGCACCATCTCTGAGCTGCGCACAGTGCTGGAGCGCTTGGCATTGCAGAACGAGGACGAAAGCGCGGCATAAAAAGGTTCCACGCGTCCCACGCAGACTTCCTTTTCGTCACGTATATACACATACCTAGAAATATATGTTCCGCGAGGAGAGGAGTTCAAGCGCGGGTGTGTGTGAATAGACGTGCTGGGAGGTGCAAGGCCCTGGCTTTCATCTATCTAAGCCTCTGCTTCAGCTGTCGAGAGTTGCCAGCCGCAGGAGCTGCGAAAAGCCAAGGACCAAGCCGAGGATTGGCTGGGCGCCGTGTGGGCAGCGCTGAACCAGCAGAGGCATCCGCGCGCTTGGGGAGTCTGGGGACAACTGGTGCCGTGGCCGTGGCCCTGTGAGACATCCAGCTCAGCATATTGCAATGCCGCTGGGTTCATCTTTGCTCTCAACTTCCAAAACCGGTCCGCTCCACAGCCAGCCGGGAAGCAGAGGTCTCATGGATGCTACAGGATGTGTCAGGGGCAAGGTTTTTAAAGTGTCTTACATGTTGTTGCGGTTGCATGAACATACGGTATATACGCAAGGAATCTCTCAGCATTGATGTAGTTTATTTCCTTGCTTCGACTTTTGGCCGACTCAACTCGTGGGTTTTAGTGAAGCTCCTTTGGTCGAACAATGGGAACAACGGCAACCCAGGGACACTTTCCGGTTTCCGCAAGTGTCCGTCCTAGTGAAAGGGTTTCAGTATGTTTCCCTATGGCAGGCGAGAGCAGCTCCTGCTACATCGCCGTGTGAAGGAGGAAGACACCTGGGCACAGCGCCTGCAGGAGAGATAAATTACGCCACACGCATCCACAAGAACCACAGTAGGTGATCGTGAGTTTGTGTCTCATGTGTTCACCGATCCTCACTTTGCTGGCAGGAGTAGCACGCGCCTCGCCAAGAGAGCAAAGTTAAACAGCTTGAATTTAACTCAGTTCAGCTACCTGTTGTCGGACATTCGTTGGGGCCAGATTCAGGCAAACAGGACAGGGCTGACTTGGCCGTGCTAGTAGCACCTAATTACAAAGACCCTGGATTTGGGCACAGCTGGAAGCAATGCCGTACCATGCCATACCTCACATCAGGTTCAGCAATGCCCTTTGCCATACTTTGCCGAGCTTGGGGTGCCTTAGCCATGTGTTCAGAGGTGCATTTTGCCAAGGGATGAAAGGACTTTAACTTTGTGCCAACTAATGGGTTTTCCGTATCAAACCACTAACAGTTATTCACTTTTTGCAGGGGAGCAGAAAGCAACCGAGTCAAGTCTTGGAGCTTCGTCCTTTGTTTTGAGCCCGACGTCGGTCCTGCATGGCGCAGTGGCGCAGGACCGCACCGAAGTCTTGGTGGATGAGCTGCAGGTCTTGGAGCGGGAGACGCACACACCAAGGTCCCAGTCCTCAGACAAGGACGGCCTGAAACATCCAGCCGAATGTCAGAACCTGACATGCGGAAGCTGTCAGCATTTGCGTGTTTGCTGGTGCTGTTGGGAAAATGAGGGTGATTTGTGGTATGTGGCTGTGCTTGATCAAGCTCTTTAGTGGGGTCGTTGGTATGCGCTCAAAGCAATGTACGACATCTCAGGCGAGATTGAGACGCCTTGAGCGCCAAGAACATGTTGACCACCAAGGGCCAATCTCAACAGCCATACATGGCTTCACTCAGCCCTTTCCGTATTTTTTGACCGAGGCGTTTGTCCCTCCAAGGAATTTCGGGGCGACTCCGCGGATCGATCCGTCAGGAGGTCTTGCGCTGCGCGCTTCTGCAGCAGCGGCGCAAGGCGCAGCGCGTGGAGCTCTCGGCGCTGCTGGCGCAGAGCCGGCGCCTGCAGGGCGCCCTGCGGGAGGCCGAAGGCGCGGGGGAATTGCCGAATCGCCGAAGCTGGTGCCTCGGGTGCGGAGCGGGGGAATTGCCATGCGGTTGGAACTCGCAGGGTCTGTGCTGCACGTGGGCGATTCCGATTGTGGTTTGACCCGTGCGGTACCTGCAGCGGTATGCATGTCGGCTGGCCATGAAGCCTGCCAGGCCAGCAGGCGACCATGCGGGAGCAGCTGAGACCTGTGCAGCTGATGTTGGAAAGGCCCTGACAGGTTCGGCATCAGTTGCTGACACCTGGGGCCTGCAAGGGCAGGGGCAGGCGGCCACTTGTACGATTGCTTTCCGAAGGCTGCATACCCAGCCCTCCAAGTTGACAGTTGAGAGTCGTTGACTGTTGCGGTAAATTAGAGGCAATATCATGAAGTGCCAGAAGTCAAATACATGTCAAAACAGATTTGCTTGTCCCGGGTGTCAGTATGGTGAAAGCGCACATGGGTTCTCTTGGTTTTGCCAGCTCTAAGATAAGCCTACCCAGTGCTCTTGCGGCCAGCCGCTAAAGGCGGCGGGTTCCACAACACGCCGCCTTCCAATGCAAAAGCTGTGCGCACAGCCTCGTGCTGCGTGCCTGATAAGCGATAAGCTGTCTCCACTTGAGTTGCTGAGAATAAGGCAAGGACCCTTAAAGGCGGAAGCGGATCACGATATGAATCATCCTGAATGGCTTGGTAGCGACATATTGGACTGGAAGGCTGTTCCCACCAGATAGCAGATTTGACTCATGCATGTCTCTATCACACCCATCGGCAAGCACCGGCGGACCTTGACAATGAGCCATCCTTTGTTTGATTCAATCATTGTTGTTTCTCTTTGGTCGCAGTGATGTCCATTTCGGAGGGTTGACCCCCGCTGAGGCGTCGAAAGGTGGCGAGATGAATCCTGAGCAGGTGATGCTCCTCACGCAAGGGGCGCCTCAGACCGATAGTGTTTTTTTTTTTTCATGCAACCTGGGCAAGGGGTGGCTTGAGGAGGCAGATCAGCCTCAGGAGTTTGTGATGCTGGTTTCTTTATCCTGAGGTCAGCAGTACAGTTTTGAGGGCTGTTGAAGCTTGCGTGGATTTGGCTTGCCATTTCAATTGATTCAACATGATAGTTCTTGAGGAACCGGCCGCCCACTTTGTCAAATCGTCTCTGCTTCTCGCTCTAAGACAACGCCGGTGCGTCACTCGGGCAAGTTTTTTGACTCAGGTGCTACCTCTCGGGGCCAAACACCAGGCGCGCACGGCCCGGCCAAAACTCTTCAACCCAATGCCTTCAAGAGGGGATATCTCTGTCAGTTGCTTTTTTGGTGATCCCCTGGGTTTTTTCATGGTTAGTTTGTTTATGGTTGTATGATCTTTATGGTGATTTTTGGTTTCCTTTTTTTGGTCAGTTAGGAGTTCGGGGAGAACTTTTGCTCTTTAGCGGTCCCAAAGACACGATCGGTCCATTCACGTGAAAGGATGCCGCAGGTGATTCATGCTACTAGCCTGCAATCGATGGGCTTGGTTTCGCCACTCTATGGGCGCACCTGAGCAACCTATGCCTTCGGTGCCAACACGCAGCAAACTAATTATGGCAGATATCAAAACTTGGTTTCTTAGAGTTTTTGGGTGCAGCACTTGCCTTGCCAGTAGCCTGTGCTTGATGTTCTGGCAGGTCGTCACGAGGCTTCTGAACTTTTGGGCGGCGGCCCCATTTCCAAGATGCTTTCACTGTGCTGTGTCATTGAAGAGCTACTAGTGAGACACACGGTGTTGCATTGGAGAAGTTCACAGACGGCAAGCTCGTGTTCGGCATGCAGCGAACTGGCACATTTTGCTGTATGGCTTGTTCCCTTCCAAAAACCTGGATTTGGGCAGAGTCAAAAGAAACTCACTTCCTGATGCGCTTCTCTGTGTGCGCGGGGGAGAGAGAGGGGGGAAACAGAAAGAGTGCAGGTTGTTGTCCCTGACCTGTTTTGGGAAGTATTCTTGCGGAAGCAAGCCGACCCCATCGATGTTGCCCAAGGCGCAGATACTGGCCGAGTGTGACAGCAAGGCACGCGCTTCTGGAGCACTTTTCTGGGGTGGTCTGTTCGCAGAGGCCGTGGTCGAAATTAATTGCAGACTGCAGCCGGCCGAATTCAACAAGCAGAACACGTCTAGACAAATCTGCCAGAAGAGCTGTCCACGTGATTGGGTACACCCTGCCGCCGCTTCCCTGCAGTTGTCGGTGTCCATTTTTTCAGGGCCTTGGACTTTGAAGCATGACATCATGCGTGTTCTGAATGTTCTGCATTTGCCTCAAGAGTGATTGATGCAGCGCGTGTTGAGAGAATCGGGTTCCTCCGGTTAGCTGTCAAGATTCCTTGGCAGAGTCAGATTCCAAGAAACCAGTCCCTGACTCATTCCAAGTGGCTGTGCCGGCTTTGGCGGGGCACGTAGTTCGCAGGCACCAGTGTTGCCTGCTGACGACATAGCTCAGCTCGCAATGCTTCTTGCCATGGTGTCTCGGCCGCCTTAGTGGAGCATGTTAATGGTGCTAGTTCCAGAGACTCAACAACATGTTGTCATGAAATAATGTTTGATGAACTTCACCTGGATTGCTTCAACATTTTGAAGCAGACCAAGTTGTTTGGCACTGTGAAAGAAACATCCATGGTTATGATCATGTGCCCTTGCTTGATGGATGTGAGTCGACCATTTCGGGATACAGCCCGGCCCTGGGGTTCCCATGACTCGCGTTTTACAAGCCGGAGGTCGCTCCGGACCACACCGTGGTCTTCCACAACATCGGCAAGCAGCTCCAGGAGGCTTCGGCCTTGAAAGCCTCACTCCTCCAGCTTTGGATGCTTGGCGCTCCATTGACGTTTCCACAAGGGCATGGAGGGTCAAGGTCTGACATATTTCCAATGTCCACCGCGTTGCTTGTGCGATGTCTAGCTGATCCTTGCTTTATGTGTGCATTTAGCTAGAATGTCACATGACTGGTTCATCTTGATTCTAGCCATTCGGTTGTGTGTGACCCCTACTTCTTTCTTATGTTCACTGTGGTTCTTCGCGGTTCTTGCTCCGGCATATCCAAGATGAACCTCGGAACACAGGTGTAAGGACTCTCTTGTGTGAAATGCTTTTGATGTGCGTGTGTGTGGACAACATGACTAGGCTTCAAAGGCAGATTCCAGGGGCATGAACCTGCTGATTCCTGTCATTTGCGAGTTCCGAGCATTTTCGCCGTGATGCCCACGCATGCCTATGTATTCCGATGAACTCCCAACCAAAATTCGATCCAAAAGCGTTAGGTGGTTGGTTGGTTTGCCAGAACTCTCCACAGTGATATTTGCTTGAATTCTCATGGCCCTCACTCGCTCCTGCAGATTGAATCTCCAGTTCGGGTTCCAATTGCTCCACTGGCCGGCAGGGTTCCACTTTTTGACTACCCCACGTCAGACTTAAACCCAGGGTGATTCATCCCCCCACAAGGAGAACCCGGTTTAAGTCTTTTGCTTGCGGTAGGCAAAAAGTGGGTCATGGACCGAGTCTCCCATGAGACCTCCGGAGACCTGAGCCCAGCCAAGCCTCAGCAGGCAGGGGAGCAGCTCAGCGAGCAGGGCCTCGCCGCTTTGGAGGCGGCCTTCCCGGAGGGAGCCCGGCGCTTAGGAGGTCTGGAAGCCGTCACTTTGGCCGCATGGGGGTGCCAAGAAGTCTTTGATCGCCCCAGGAATTTATGCGGTGCCGTTTTTGGTCGACTTTCTCTGAGGGGAACCCCCGAGAGTTGTCAACCAACGCAAAAGAGCGCCCTTTTTTGCCCATGCCTTTTCTGCTTGCTCTGTCCACTCCGTGAAAGTGAACCCGGCTGTCAGCCTTCCAGTGTCCCTACAAAATCTCCAAATTTTGCTGAACTTGAAGCCGCCACCTAATTAAGTTCGTCGCAATCAAGGTCTTCGCGCTCGGCCACACGCCGTTATTGTTTGCTGAGGGTCATCCTTGCTCCTTTGTTTCTTCTTTAGATTGCAGCTTGGGGCCTCACAAGGTCCACCTGTTTAACAAACCACCCCGTGGCGCGCCAAGCGTGCGCGGCTGAGGCTGGGCCCAGCTTCCCGGGCAAAGAGCAGCTGCTCGTCAAGGTGGCCGCGCCCTGGCCGAGGGATTGGTTCCATGGCCGGCTCGCATGAATCACCAGCCCGTTTTGCACTTAGACCCTTTGGTTCGTTTTTTGTTTCCCTTGAGGGGGGGAGGAGGGGCCAGGGTGCAGAGGATTGTACCACGAAAAACATGGCACCTGACACGGCGTCTCTTGAAGATGAGATTCATTGTCCAGGGAGTTTTGGCTCGGGGGTTGAACCAAACCAAAAGGGCGACCGCACTCGCGCTCGTAGCCTTCAAGAACCACACCTAAATGAATCCGGATAATTCTTCTCTCATCCACAATTAGTGAGAGCATAGCAGTTCTGGGGTCTCAGGCTATGTCGCAAACCCGGGTTCTACGGGCTTGCCAAGGGCTTTCACAAGCAAAGTTGCACATCCAAGTTTCGCAGAAGAGCATAAGGGGCTTGACAAAGAGAGTGGGGTGGGAAGCCTAGAGAGAAAGGTTGTGCTACACCAGTGCTGGTTTTGCCTGCAAATGCTTTGGGCATGCTCCCAATGGCATGTTTCTTTGTTTGTGCTTGTGTGTGTGTGTGTGTGTGTGTTGCAACGCCACTTTTTTCCATGCATGGCCGCTCAATCTTTGCTGCAACTAGCGTTTGGGTAGCCTAGGCTTAGGTTAGCACGTGCTTGCCCGTTGTCCTGTTTTGTCTTCAGGGATGGACAGAAGTACATCAAATGGGAACATCCGGTGACGTTTGACTCGCCAAATGCTCCGCCAAGGGGCTTCTTCCAAACCAGCGAGAGCTATCGCCCATCGATGTCCGGAATCGAGATTGAAGAAAGCGTTGGGTGTTCCTTTTGCTTGGGTCACCTTTTCCAGGGGCCACGCGGGGCAACCGTGCCGAGGAGCTGAAAGCCAAAAAGGCCGAGTCGAAGAAAGCCGAGAAGGAGAAAGCCAAGCTGGCGGGCATGGGGGAGGGAAAACCAAGACTGGAGCGGAAATGACAAAGGCTTCGGCCGAGAATCCAAGTCCTATGAATAACGCTTCCCGGCCCCAAAAATAAATCTCCCCCAGCCGACCCTAACAGTTGCCAATACTTACTTTAAAACACCCAATGCTAAACCAACAATAAGCTCTCCCGAACCCAGATCCACTCAGCGAAACTCTGCAGATGTGCTTATTCGAGGTCACCCTGGTTTGACACAAAAAGCAAAGTCTGAGTCCTTTTTGCGCCAAAGGGATACCAAAGGGTTGCCTTGCGTGACAAGTCTTGATTGGGTTCCCTTTAGAAGGTCTCGTGTTGAAAACAAACTAGGGCTTTAGTACTATTTTTAGGACTCTTTTCGAAAAAGAACAGGGCGCCATCCGTTTAAAAGCTCTTACTCGAAACTTACATTTTGAACACTTTTTGTGCAAATCAAACGAGTCCCCCTGTCCGATTTCATTCGATGCCAGTACTAAACAACGCAGTCTGATGTGATTGGGGAGGGGGGGGGGGGCAGTTTATTTTTGGGAGGGAATATTATTTGATCTTACAGGGGAACGGAGAGGATGAATGGCACATGCCCCATGCAACAAATTGAATAGTGTTGCAGACATCCAGCAAACAGGGTCCACGTCCAGGAACTGGCGACACTTAACACCCATCCTGGGCACTTGCTTGAACTTATCCACTGGCCATGGCTTCCAATGATCGCAAGAACAATGGAGGGCTTGTCATAGTTCTGCCCTGCCTGAGACCTGGCTCTTGAACATAGTCTGATGCCGGGGTATGCGGGGTTTGTTGGAGCCCACTTGCCTGGAGAGAAGTCCTCCCAGGCTCCTGGTTGCGACTGCCTTGCATTGACATGCAGGGATTGTTGAGACGCGTCCTGCAAGCTTTGACCATCAATCTTTCCCCGGCTTCGCAGCACAGGTGCCAAGAAGAGAACGCTCTCGCAGCCGATCGCGAACGCGGCATGCTGAGAGTCGCTGCCAATTACCGAAAACACTCGTCTGTGTGTGTGTGTGTCTAGTTGTGATTGTTTCTGTGTGCTTGTTTACTTGCCTGCTTGCTTGTTTTTCTTGCTTGCTTTGTTTGCTTGTTTGCCTGTTTGCGCGTGTGTGTGTGTGTGTGTGTGTGTGTGTGTGTGTGTGTGTGTGTGTGTGTGTGTGTGTGTTTGTTTGCTTGTTTGCCTGTTTGCGCGTGTGTGTGTGTGTGTGTGTGTGTGTGTGTGTGTGTGTGTGTGTGTGTGTGTGTGTGTGTGTGTGCGTGTGCGTGTGCGTGTGCGTGTGCGTGTGCGTGTGCGTGCGCGTGGGCGTGTGCGTGTGCGTGTGCGTGTGCATGTGCGTGTGCGTGTGCGTGTGCGTGTGCGTGTGCGTGTGCGTGTGCGTGTGCGTGTGCGTGTGCGTGTGCGTGTGCGTGTGCGTGCGCGTGTGCGCGTGCGCGTGTGCGCGTGCGCGTGTGCGTGTGCGCGTGCGCGTGCTGCGTGCGCGTGCGCGTGCGCGTGCGCGTGCGCGTGCGCGCGCGTGCGCGGGCGCGTGCGCGCGCGCGCAGCGGCGTGCGTGCGTGCGTGCGTGCGTGCGTGCGTGCGTGCGTGCGTGCGTGCGTGCGTGCGTGCGTGCGTGCGTGCGTGCGTGCGTGCGTGCGTGCGTGCGTGCGTGCGTGCGTGCGTGCGTGCGTGCGTGCGTGCGTGCGTGCGTGCGTGCGTGCGTGCGTGCGTGCGTGCGTGCGTGCGTGCGTGCGTGCGTGCGTGGGTGTGTGTGTGTGTGTGTGTGTGTGCTGTGAATGTGCGTGTGCGGGTGAGGGTGAGGGTGAGGGTGAGGGTGTGCGTGCGTGCGTGGGTGGGTGGGCGGGTGCGTGGGTGCGTGGGTGCGTGGGTGCATGGGTGCGTGGGTGCGTGGGTGCGTGGGTGCGTGCGTGCGTGCGTGGCTGGGTGCGTGCGTGGCTGGGTGCGTGCGTGCGCGGGTGCGTGCGTGCGTGCGTGCGTGCGTGCGTGCGTGGGTGGGTGGGTGGGTGGGCGGGTGGGCGGGTGGGTGGGTGGGTGGGTGGGTGGGAGGGTGCGTGGGTGCGTGGGTGCGTGGGTGCGTGGGTGCGTGGGTGCGTGGGTGCGTGCGCACTTGCGTGCGTGCGTGCGTGCGTGCGTGCGTGTGTGTGTGTGTTCTGTGTAGGTGTATGTATGTGTGTGTGTGTGTGCACGTGCGCACTTGCGTGCGTGCGTTGGAGGGAGGGAGGGAGTGAGTGACTGAGAGAGAGAGAGAGAGCGAATGACAGACATGCACGAAATGTGTGTTTTGTTTTTGTTGTGCTTCTGTTTTTGTGTGTTCGGGTTTGTGTGTGTTTGGGTTTGTTTGTTTGTTTGCTTGTTCGTTTGTTCGTTTGTTCGTTCGTTTGTGCGGTTTGTCAGGGAGTGATCGGTGAGTGAGGGTGTGTGTATGTGGAGTCTTATATTCCCTCAACTTACCAGCCCTGTAAGGCGGCGGAGATGACGGCTGAGAGTTGCGTCCTTGTAGGGCCCACGTTGGCAGTGGAGCCGGGGCCCAGTGAGTGGGCAAAGGGAAGCACAAGCAGATGTTGCTCTGAGAACGGTGCGGCAAATTGAGCTCTAGGTCTACTTGCACGCTGGGACTCGGCAGGGCAAATTTATTGGGTGGTGATGTTTTTTTTCCGCATTTACCGCCGCAGCAAGAAAGCCTTCCCAGTATAATCATATAATCTAATGTCTAGACAGGCTCACATTGCAAACCAAGCAAGCCATTAATTGAGTAGTCCAACGATCCTTCAGCATGAGGAGTGCTGGCGACACATTCGCAAGTGCATCTCAAAGGCTCACTAGGGGCAGGTTGATTCAGACAGTGCCTCAGGCGCGGCTGAAAAAGCAGTGTCTTTGATTGGTCAGCTTCGCGTGTAGCACTTCCTCACATTTCACCGTAGCGTTGCTGTGTCGCTTTTGGCTTTTCGTTAAGAGAATGCTGTATGCTCAGTGTGGAAGTGCTGCTTGTGCTTGCCCACCGCGCCGTCTCAAGTTGTGGTTTCGCAGGGCGAAGCCAATCCAGCCCTGCCTTGACTCAGGCAGTGCCGCGCGCAAGCGGCTAGAGACGTTTTTGTGATTGAAGTGATCCCCACTTACAGAAGACCGAACGTTCAGCATTTTTGAAGATCAGTTTGGGTGCGCTTGAAAGGTGATTGGAAGTTTGCGCGCCCCTATCGAATGCAATTAGATGGCCAAGTAGACTTCTAATTGAAACACGAGTTGAGTTCATGCGTGCTTTTGGTGCTTGCCAGCACCCTCCGACAACTGTTTTCATTCTATGTTTGTAACTACCGTCTAATTAGCAGTAGTTCCAAAAATCAAACAAACGACACCAGATTCCCGATCTACGGTTGTTTCACGTTCTTTCCAGCAAGCCTATATCCCTACCCCTTCCCAAGCCCACGGGGTGACAGCAGGCGACACAGGGTGACACGCAGGTACGGACACAGGGTTGACACGGGGGCGACACAGGGGACACGCAGGTGACACGGGGTGACACGCAAGTGACACGGGGTGACACGAGGGTGACACGCTCTGAGGCGCTTGCTGCACTTGCTGCCACGCCTACTAGTAGTTAAACATTGGGCATCCCACAAGTACAGTGATTAACCAGGCTCCCGCCTGCTGCCGCCGACCCTCGGCGCATTAAGGGAAAAGTCACAAGGACCGGTCCTGAAACACGTCCGCAAACCCAGGGACCACTTATAAGATCCTCTACGACCACAAACAAGGATTAACGGAAAAGTCAGAAATAGGGCAGCTAGTCCGTTAATTACCGCTTGGGCCGGCTTGCGCCCAAGTCACTTCGAGTTGGCCCGGGAGCAGTCGCCTCTCCCGGGGTCGCCCTGAAACTGGCCCTCCCGAAGTTGCCCTGGACCGGTCGCCGGCAGGGACCGGGACAGGCTGGTCCCAGTCTGGCGCGGTTTGACTCGACATATTGGACTCTCTTGCAGAATAGATCCAGGGATCCTCTACTACCACAAGGATTAACGGAAAAGTCAGACAGATGGCAGCTCGTCCGTCAATAACCGCACGGGCCGGTTTGTGCCGAAGTCACGTTGAGCTGTGCCCCTCAACGGTTGCAGGGAGTGACTGGGACCTGGGACCCTGTCCAGTGTCCTGAAACACGGGTGCCAGTCCGGAAAGGTGTCTGGAGCGGTTTGAGGTGGCACCACAGCAGTTTGAAGTGGGACCCGATGCCAGCGCTCACACCAGGGAGAAGCCAGGACCGGTCCCAGGACTGGTCCAGGACCGGTCCTGGGACTGGTCCGGTCCTGGGACCGGTCCCGGGACCGGTCCCAAGACCGGTTTACAAGTAATCTGAAACAGCAGAACCAGGGTCCCAGGACCAGTCCCAGGACCGGTCCCAGGACTGGTCCCAGGACCAACAACTATCATTGATTCCAATCACTTCCAGTTGCATCCCACGCCGGTCCCCTCTGCAGGAGGCTGGGATGGGAGACGTAGTTGTTCTATCTACTCTCTTTTTTGGAAAACTCTGACTACTAGCTGGGGGGTGCTGGTAACAGATGCATTCATTTGCACAAAACCTTCCCCTAACAAATCAAACGCCCCCCGAATAAACAACAAATCCTTGGGAGCTGGGAGGCCTGCGCTGCTAGGGGGAAGTGTTTACGCCCAAGCCGGCCGATCATCACTCTTCTGTCAGTAAGTCAACCCTTTCAGCATCAGAATGATTCTCGTTCTGGCCCACTCTGAAGGCAGACAGAGAACGTCAGCAGGCATGCTTTGTCTTCCTTCCTCCTCGGCCCTTGGCAGCCGTACAGATGTGCAAAGATTCGCATTTGTGGCAGAATCAAACTGGCGACGACAGCCGAAAGCATATCTATTCGCTCAGAACGGGCTGATTGTTTCTAGGATTCACACGGCCTTCGAGTTGACCTGTTGCCTTGTCTTGTTTAAGTTCCGTGTCAGTTCAGGCGCTATGTCGCTGCCTGTGCGGATCTTAGAGGGCAGGGGCCGGATTTAAAACAGACGCCGTGCACGCACACAGAGCCCGCACGATTTTTCAGATGTTACTTCCCAGGGCGTAAAGTAAAGTGGCGTAGCACACGGGGCACATGCATTGGGCATAGAGGTGTAGAGAAGCTGGGAGGCGGGAGCTACGAGCCCTGTGCAAATCGAGGCTTAGAGGCACTTGTCATTTATACACCAAGTGATTCTTTGCGGGAGCTGGTGATGTGATTTTCTCCGGGAAAACACGGCATCCTTCTGGGGACATCGGCCAACATCTTGCAATTGGCATGATTCGCATTTTCGGGAGCCTTGGAGAGAGCAACCGGACGCCCCTGTTCAGGATTTCGAGGCTACTTGACGGTGGAACGGGGGCAGCGTATGTCAGTATGTTCCGTCCATTCTGTTCATCATGGCCACAGGCGTCACCGGCGTCACCAAAGCGGAGGCCAGCTGCGGCAGGAACAAATTAGCTGACAGCGCAACCAAGACAGGCGTTAGAAACAGCTTTCATGGCCCGAGGGGCAAAAGTTGCCCGCGTGTCTAATGTGAATTCATGCCCCATTCGCTCCCGCCGCCGGTCTTGACCTTGCGCCACAAAACATGCTTTGACCGCGACGGGAACCAGGTCTCATGCGAGACTGATTTGCATCTGCGCACGCCACCAGCGAGTAAGCCTAAGAAAATGGTGTCACCAAGCATCTTACAATGGCCTGTCTCTCTGCTTGTCGAGGCCCTATGATGGGCGCGATGCGCAGATGGCAGATGTGTGGCGAAATGGATGTTGCCGAGAAAGGCGCGCTTACAACCGTGTAGGTTGACGTAGGCGACGTCGGTCTTGACGAAATGGTCCGAGAAGTGGGCTGCATTGGGTTTTACCAGAGTTTTGCTGCACTGTGTGTGTCACTGCTTCGCCATGAGCTTGACGAGCTCGTTGTTCGCGATGTGGCCCAGGCTGCAAACTAGCAACCGAAGCCTTCGTAGACTTTCTGTGTTGCGAGGCCAAGGAAGCCAGATCTTTCTTGCCGCGCTTGTTGTTCAGGAAGTTTGCCAGCAAGCTGAGGTTGCAAGTCGCTGTAGCCGAAGACTGGCCACGTTCGGGCGCGAAAACCCCTTCCAAGGAGGCCGAAGCAGAGTGAATTCTATGAGGTGATTTGTGAATTTGTAGCGCAGTGACGCTTGGTGCTTGCGGCTGTGCTCATGTGCCTGGTTGTCTATGAGTAACAGGCGTCTTGAGTGTTCTGACGATGGCGACGTCACCGTAGATGCGGTCTTTTTTTGAGAGCAGGGTCTTGGTGGCAGTGTTGCCGAAAAGTTCGCTGCCCAGGGCTCGGCCCATCAAATGTCCTTGAAAAGCTCGGCGCATGATTTGTTGCACGGGTCTTCTCGGAGAGTTGTTGGTTCAACTATGCGTTCGCTTGGCCTTTGCACCCTCAAGCTTGGCGCCCGGAAGGTCTCGGTTCACACTCCTGCAAGCGTGGAAGAGCTGCTCCCCTGTCTTGAAACTTCTGAGCTGGAGCTTCAAGGCAAAGCCTGGAGGTCTGCGTGTTGCTCGGGAGGTATACCGGTAGCGCTGCCTCCGTTGCCGCTCCTTGAGGCTTGCGAAGTTGCAGTCTCGTGATCCGCCGCTGCCGCAGGGCGATGTGAGGAAGCTGGGCGTGCCGCAAGCGCTGCGCCCACTCTGAGTTCGGCCTTGATCCTCTATGCTGAGTTTCTTGGGCAACAACGCGCCCGGAAAGGAGACTAGCCTGGTCGAAAGCTTCACAGCAAGTGCTGCCTGAGTCTGGAGCGGGCGGGCAAGATTTGAGGTGCCTGCGTTCATTTGTCCAAGCGTGGTGGCTGTACCATCTATGATCGCAATCTTCAGGACACTCGCGCTTGACAACAGATGTCAACAAGTACAGTTCGGTGTGTGGCCAGCCCACCAACTCGAGGTTATGTTTTGGGCCACGCGTCGGGCCCCCCTAGGCGCAGACGCTGCTTGACATAGCTGAAAGAGTCCCACGCAGCTGGGCAAACCTGTGTGGTTGGGATCTTTTTCGGCGTGTGAAACCAATGACAGGCGCACTGAGCGATCCGAACGAACTGGGATGGAGCTTGACAAGACTCTCACTCTGCCTGCATCCGCTTCCCACGAGTTGCCAGCTTGCAGATGTTCTCATGAAGCTTGATGTGAAGTTTTACGGCTTTTAATGGACTGTCCTTTAAACAAGCTTGGCTGACGGCCAATAGATGGTTCGGTGTGAACTCACGCCCCATTCTCAACAGAGCCGGTTGCTTGCAGATCATTGTTTGACAAGCGTGCCAATCAGATCTTCTCAGTTTGCAGAGCAAGCGCAGTCGCGGATGGCGCCGGCGTCGCACTTGTGCCAGTCGCATGCGGGGCAATGCTTTGGCTCCCCTGATGGAACTCATTCTGGAAAGAACAAAGCTAGTCAGCCATAAAATAGTAGCGCCTGGAAGGATCAGAAATGGCTTGTTGTTTGAGGCAAAGTGAGTGAGGGCGCAAGGTGCACCATTCATTGCCCATGAAGCTACCAAGCTGCCGCATGCGCCAAGCTTTGGGAGGCCAGTGCCAGCGCCCGTGGAGATCCGGTCCCACATCGTCTCTAGGAAGCCGCGGTCGCCCAGTGAGAGCCGGCGGTTAGCGGCTCGCTCGGAGGGTTGTCTCAGGCCTTCATGACGAGCATGTGCTTTCGTTGCGCGCCGTGCAAGCTTGTGTGTGTGTGTTTGTGGCTGTGGCTGTGTCTGTGTCTGTCTGTGTCTGTGTGTGTGTGTTTGTGTTTGTGTGTTTGTGTGTGTTTGTGTGTGTGTGTGTGCGTGTGCTGGTGTCTCTGAGCGCTTCGTCTCTATATGTGTTTGTAGCTTCCATTTGGTCACTTTTTTGGGCTCTCGGCGCTTTGCCTGTTTCAGGTTTGGAGCGGAAAACATCAAATGAGCGGAAACCTTGGTTTGGCCCGTTTTGCCTCCGGAAAACGAGCGGGAATCGCAGGAAATGAGCGGAAACTAGCAAACGCGCACCTCAGCAAATATAAGTCTTTTAGTGATATCCTACAGACGCAAACACCCCGTCCGCCGACAGGGCTTGTGACAGACAACTGCGACGGACACCCGAAGCCTGAACCTCCCGCCAGTGGCCCCAGAACAGTCCGGAGCCCCTTTGGCCGGACCAGGGTCGCCCCGGGGCTGACGTGGCACTTTCCGTGTCTATGCATATCTTTGAGCATGTCTTTGTGTGTGTCTCTGCGCGCGTCCCCCTGCATTCTTTGCGTGTCTCGCTGCGTCCCCGCTGTATGTCCATTGTTTTGTTTGTCTTACTGGCTGTCCGCCTGTCTCTCTGTCTCTCTCTCTCCTTCTGTCTCTGTCTCTGTCTTTGTCTCTGTTTGGTGTGTGGCTCACTCTGGCCCCCTTCCTGTCTGCCAGCCTGCCTGCCTTGGCCTCCATCTGTCTCTGGGTTCGTGTGTGTGTGTGTGTGCGGAGTGTCAGATTTACCCTGACACCACCTTTCTCGACGAGATCATGTTTGTCGCAGGGGGCCAGTGGCCATCAAGCAAACGCTAGCCAACGAAGCTATGCTTGATGGTGGATGCACGGATTGATCACCCGTGTGTACCTGCTTTTGTGAAGTGATGTTGATGAAAGTCCAGTTGGCCGCTTCTTTGCCGCTGTGTGTGCTTCATGTTGAACCTTGTAACGTTTTCGACACTAGAGGGAAGCCGAGTGCATCGCGAGCCGAAACTCATCGTACTCGAGACTTATCAGTTGTACTCGAGACTCATCAGTTGTACTCGAGACTCATCAGTTGTACTCGAAGGATTAGCACCCTCCCTTGGGAGTTGAAGTGTGGCTACCCCAGTTTGGGGGAACCTCGGGTGTGCCCATCGTGTGACCCCGGGCCGGTTCGCCGGAAAATTTGACCTCAACGTTCATATCATAGTACAGCGGAATTTCACGATTTAAGCAGGAACGAGGTTTCACTAAAGGGAAGACAGCCGTCTGATCATAGCTAAGTCTCACAATTGCTGTAGTTTGCTGCATGACTGCGTGTTGATCTGTGATTGGCTTGATCTCTTGTCGGTTTCGCTTTTCTCAAGCTTGAGTTGTCGCGGTTTTGAGTTTGTTGTGCCACCATGTCTCGACGGGATGATCGTGACCGATCCAGAACTCGGCGCAGACGGGATAGGAGCCCATCTTCACCTCCTCGTAAAGCGCGCAGACGTGATCAAGACGACACCTTGGTCTCGGACGGCATGGATTGGAACAACCTGGTCTCCTGGCAACACAATCCGAGCTACAACGCGCCCAATGCCTTTCCAATGACGCAGAGCAACTACCAGCCGAATCCCTCCTCATCGCAGCTCTATCAGCACCCTCCGGTCAACTACATGATGCCGTTCCCTCCTGAACCTACACCGGCGAAGACCGTGAAGTCGATGATGCCACCTCCTGGCCATGCACAAGTTCATCCTTCCCAAACAACGACAGCGCCTGGCTATCCAGCCACGCTGCCAGTGCAGCCTCAGAGTGGCAACCTGGTGATGGCATGTTGGACATCAACCAGCTCTACTCCTTCAGCCTGCCCATGACGGTTGCCAACACGCCACACAATACGCAACGGGATATGTTGGGCATGGACATCCGGGATGTTCGCCTACTTCAGGTCATTCACGGTGGCATCTCTAACTGGCTACTGAGGCCATTTGCTCACGGGAGATTCGTGACGTGGGAGGGATTTTGTACCCGCACCGAGGCCCTGCTTTGGAGTACCTGTTCGAAGTTGCTCCGTCGATCACAACCACTCAACCTGCTTACCTTGGAAAAGGACTTAGCCAATTCGCTGGGACTTAACATTGACGACTTCAATCAGCGGATCAATGTTCACGATCACTTGGGCAATCTGGTGCTTCAGTTTCTTCAGCAACATCATAAGACTCTTACACCCCATGCTCAAGAAGATGAGATGCTCAAGAAGTACAACAATCTCCAACGAGCTCACGAGTTGCTCCAGGCACAGTACTCGGCGTCACAGCGAACGTCGCCTCCTTCTACGATGCCCTCTCAGAAAGATGATGCAGAGCTGGTCACGCCGCCTCCGGTCAATCACTCACAGTCTTCGACGCCTACCGGCTCGCTACCCACGGTAAGTGCGGCGGCCCTTGACGGCAGGTCATTTGATGTCCCATCTCAGCAGCAGCCTCGGATTATCCAATCTCTTCACGGACTGTCTTCCCCGCCTTCCAAGCAAGCAACACCTCAGTTGCTCACCATGCACAGCACGCCAGAAGACATCATCAAGCACTACACCTGGACCAGTGATCAGCCACGATTATACCTCAAGCAGGCTCCTACTACTACTACCGTGCCATCGCTGATCAAGTGGGCTAACCACCCGTCCCGTCTCAACGGCAACAAGTCTTTGGAACCCATGGCGGCTCAGCTCTTGCAGGCGCGTCAACGTTTGCCAAAGAGCGGAAAGGCTAATGCGGGTGCCGGTACCACCGCCACCTCCACCACAGTTGGTTCTACCTCCTCCACCTCCACCACCGCCGCCGCCGGAGATCCTCCACCCACAGTTTTTGCCCTCATTACGGACATCACCCACTTCATCCCCCCGAGGACAATCCTGCCCGGCTACTATGACCTCTGAACGCACACGTCGGTCAGGTCGCAGCGCGGACCAACTCAGTGCTGATGATCTTCGGAGCTTCACGCGCACTCCAAAGCACACTCGCACATTGAAAGGTGCCGCATCAAGCACTATTCTCGACGACCCTTCACCGTGTTCACTCCCAAAAGGTCTACTCATGCTACACGGTCCAGATTTACAAGATGCAAGCATTACTGCCATGCCTTTATACATCATGGACGGAAGTGTCTTTCCCCTTGTGTGAGACGTCAACCAGGACACTTCCATTGCAGATGCGCAAGTCATCAACGACAGTGAAGAGGTGCCGTGCAGCCTGGTGTGTGAAAAGATGGTCCGCATTGCTTGCTGATTGTGCATGGGTTGTCTTGCGCTTCTCCCATGTTTGTTCTTTCGCAGAGACCCTTTGTTTCACAGAGGCGCATTCAGTTGTCATGCTCAATTCGACATTTGGAAACCAGAGATGGGCCTTCCCGCGCTACTTTGAGTACGACATCGTGAGCGGCCCGGGAACTCAAGAGTGGAATGGATTCGTGTTTACACACCGGGCATGTGGCAGCCTGTGGCAGAATCCACCTTAGGCCCAGCTCCGGAACACGCGTCCACATATCGTGAATGGCGCAGAGTCTACCACTTTGACGTGTATTGGCCTCGTGACAGCACAGGAGGCACCACTGCGCGGATGCCCTCGCACTGCCGGTCTCCTACGTGTCTTTTTACACGTGGCAATATCGAGATTGGCACACGCGGGGATACCAACGCCTTGGTGACCCACGTCCAAGCATTGGATCGCCAGATCTCGTGTACGCTGGATTGTCGTCCTCGTCGGCGTCTTCGGTTCCGGATGGCGCTTGGCGTGACCCCACCGAGCTACGATCCTAATTTTGACTGGGACGAGTGACATTGATGCCTGGGCAGACTGTTGCTTAAAACATTGTGCTTGTTGCGTCTTGCGTCTTGAGTGCATTGTCTAGGGCCTTGAGTTTGATTGACTTGTACCGTGTTAGTATCCTGCAGCCATGTGCATCATTGATCGATCATCATGCCGTGGCGAGAATGGTGCCCTGATCCTCAGCGACCTGACGCTCAATGGGTTAAGATTTTCCATCCAGGAGCATGGACACCACAAGACGAACGTGATGCCCCTCCTCGTCATACATACAGGGAATGGAAAGAGTTCTATGCCCCAAATCATGCTCATGACGGTGTTCAACCCGCTGATCGTACTTGGTACAAGCGGGACTGGACCACAGAAGGTTACCGGCGCGTCGCAGCTCCTGAATCTGACTACGGCTTCAATTCGATGTTTCACCCCGATCAGCACAACGTGGCCACCCAATCATCGGCTTTGTGCATGTCTACGCAGATGTTGGATGCGATTCTCCGATCTTCGGATGCATCGGCTTTCTCTACTGAGGATCTCACTCGTCTGCAAGCAGGGATCGGTCAGCAGCTGTCGCGCGTCAAGCGTCGCAACCGCACCAACCAGTGCGTACGTCTTGAGGGCGCTGATGCGCCTGAGTCCACTGGGGTCGCTGATCCCTATCTGCCCGCAAGCCAACCTAGCAGCTCTGACGCCAAGGAGAAGCCCATCTTCGAACTAGTTGCTGAGTAGACAGATGAGTTTGGACCGTGGTACAAAATGGACAAAATGGTGCTTTCATGTCTTCTTGCTTGCATGTGTGTTTGTTTGTTGCGCATCGTGACTGTTTCCTTGCTAGCTGGATCGGAACCTGTGGCGCGCCCTATCCTTCACTTCGACATGGATACAGATGAGGCAACTCAGACGTCGGCCCGGACTGACATTCAGCACCTGTGGCTGGAGTATGGCAGGAACGTGAGTGGGTGATCTATATTCCTGGACAACCTCAGCTATGGCACCCGGATGATGAAGTACCTGACCTGCCAGAGAACACGTTTCGGGTGACCGCTCCAGGTGAGGAGACTCATGAACCAGGCCAAGCATGGACACTTCGAGACTGGCAGCATCAAGGTTACCAACGGGTATTGACCCGCTATGAGTCCTTCTCCACCCACCATGCTCTGGATCAACCACTTGCTGGCCTACACAATCCGGACATCTCCATCCAGGTCGAAGAACTGGGTCCCCAGCATGGTCTTCTTCAGCAAAACCGCGGGATGATGGATATGTTCACCTACGCCCCGCCCATGTCCGACGTCGCACATCCATCATCTCTGCACCTTCCGCCGGTCTTCTATGGCGGCACACTTCCTACTCAACTTGGAGACCCTTTGTCCCCGTCTTCCGAGCGGCATCGTACAGAGCGTGCAATTTCTCGTTCTCCCCGCCGCAGTGGATATTTTGGTAGACGTTAGGGAGTTGAGTACGTGATCTTCCGGATGCAAAAGAGAATGTACGCCCCTCTTGGAGGGGCGTGTGTGTGCGGAGTGTCAGATTTAACCTGACACCACCTTTCTCGACGAGATCATGTTTGTCGCAGGGGGCCAGCGGCCATCAAGCGAACGCTGGCCAACGAAGCTATGCTTGATGGTGGATGCACGGATTGATCACCCGTGTGCACCTGCTTTTGTGAAGTGATGTTGATGAAAGTCCAGTTGGCCGCTTCTTTGCCGCTGTGTGTGCTTCATGTTGAACCTTGTAACGTTTTCGACACTAGAGGGAAGCCGAGTGCATTGCGAGCCGAAACTCATCGTACTCGAGACTTATCAGTTGTACTCGAGACTCATCAGTTGTACTCGAGACTCATCAGTTGTACTCGAAGGATTAGCACCCTCCCTTGGGAGTTGAAGTGTGTGTGTGTGTGTGTTTGTTCGGAGACGGTGTTGGAGTGTGTGTCGGTGTCTGTGCCTGTGTGCGTGTCACTGGTTTCTTTAATTCTCTCTTTCTCGCTCTCTTGGTCTGTCTCTTCCTCTCTCCCTCTCTCTGTCTGCGCCTGTGTGTCGAGCAGGCGTAGGTTGTGTTTTCGATGTTTATGTTACTGTTTGTATTTGCGTCTCAGTTGGTGTTGGCGCTTGTGTGGTTGTGCTTGTGCTTGTGGTTGTGTGTGTGCATTTGCATGCGTCTGTGTCTGTCTGCGTTTGTGTTTGTGTCTGTTTGCGTCTGTGCTTGCGCGCATTGTAACAGTAGAAGGCTAATCAGACCTTACTACGCCGGCCTGGGTTTATAGCTGCTGCTTTGCATTGCATGAAGCCCTTTTGCAAAACTTGGTTTTGCAGCCATCGGCTCATCTCCATTTCTTTCTGAGACTATCAACGCAGCTTGTATCACGGGCCGCAATAATGAAGCTAGTCCTCGCGCTCCTCAACGTTGGCTATGCTGCCAAGCTTGCCACAATCGCGCCAGTCAACACGAGTTTTTTGTCACATGCTTCAGGAAGGGGGCAGGTGGTCGACATGCCGGGCATGGGGCAGGTGTACGTGATGGAAGAGGATGGTGCGAAGTGGGCCCTGGTCATGAAGCTGAGCAGGAACGACTTCTGCCATGGAAGCCCCAGGTGGACGGATGGTCAGGCCTTCAACCCTCACAAAATGCTGGACGACAGCCTGCCGAATATCCAAGAGTATGATGCCAAGAGCATCGCCTTTCACAAGCTCCAGGGGGTCACTGCAATCCGATTGCAGACAGGCACTGGCACCTCTGAGGTGCATTTTGAAAGATCAGACACGCCCGAGAAGCTGATCACCACCAACGACGCCAAGATGTCAAAGCACGGTGGCTTCAACACCTGGAATTACTGGAACTCATGGAAGTCTACATTCGGGAGCGATCGCAACGGTAATCCCGCCTTTATGCGCGCAGACAAGTTTGTGGCAGACCCCTCACCGGAATGCCGCACAAATCCTGAGGCTGGCCCGCTTGGCTGTGGCCAGAAGTGCGTCTTCTGTATGCAAGCAGGAGATGGCAGTGGATGTCCAGTAGCGCCTGGTGCGCCACACCCCAATGACGTCAGCTCCGGCATCGGCTTGAGCGTAGAGTTTTGTGGCGGAGGCCGCGCGGGAGACTGCAGCACCGGTGGTCATTGGTCGGGTCAGCACAGGACGCTGGTGTGGGCCAAATTCTCAGGCACGTAGTCACGCATGGAATCAGTCCGTTCATTTTTTGCTTTTTCTTTTACACTAAATGCGTTTAGTTGTGCCAATGCCAGACGCATGTTTCAATGGGCGCAGCATGCGGCAGCATGCGGGCGCCGCTACCCCCCCCCCCCCCCCTACTTGGCTGCGTTGACCTGGGTTAGTGTTGTTGCGTTGGAATATTGGCTGGCATAGGGATGTTTGCCTTTTGTATTGTTGTTATCCTTGTGGTCGTGCCACATAGCCATCGCTGCTTCCTGTTTGCCCTTTTTTGCAAAGTAACCGCAACCCCTTTTAAGGAACAACCTGGCGCTCCTTATGTCGATCCAGCTCACTGACAGTTTGTTCATGCACCCGTTTTGTTCGTTGTGATCGGATGTATCGCCAGTTCCCAAAGAATGACCCCCCAGCAGCTCGATCATCCTGAAAGGCAGTCACCGCATCTTTAAGATGGACATCTCTGGCGTTGGGCAGGTGTACGCGAAGAAGGATGATGGAGGCGCCATGTGGGCTCTGGTCATGAAGCTGAGCAAGAACGACTTCTGCCATGGGAGCCCCAGATGGACGGATGGTCAGGCCTTCAACCCTCACAAGATGCTGGATGGCAGCATGCCGAATATCCAAGAGTATGATGCCAAGAGCATCGCCTTTCACAGGCTCAAGGGTGTCACTGCAATCCGATTGGAGACAAGCACTGGCACCTCTGAGGTGCATTTTGAAAGATCAGACACGCCCGAGAAGCTGATCACCACCAACAACGCCAAGATGTCAAAGCACGGTGGCTTCAACACCTGGAATTACTGGAACTCATGGAAGTCCACATTCGGGAGCGATCGCAACGGTAATCCCGCCTTTATGCGCGCAGACAAGTTTGTGGCAGACCCCTCACCGGAATGCCGCGCAAATCCTGAGGCTGGCCCGCTTGGCTGTGGCCAGAAGTGCGTCTTCTGTATGCAAGCAGGAGATGGCAGTGGATGTCCAGTAGCGCCTGGTGGGCCACAGCACAATGACGTCAGCTCCGGCATCGGCTTGAGCGTAGAGTTTTGTGGCGGAGGCCGCGCGGGAGACTGCAGCACCGGTGGTCATTGGTCGGGTCACCACAGGACGCTGGTGTGGGCCC